TTACCGCATTAGAGCCCATCTCAATGAGCACCGTATGATCCGGTGGTCTGAATACCATAAACACTCCAGTAGTTCATCCATTCACTCCAACCCTAATAATGATATTGAAGTGAATACCAGGTATATTAAAATAAAACTTTTTAGTTTATAAATCTATATTACATTTGAGTTATACTCAACAATTAGCATTATGAGTTTAAAAATCGCTAAGCAAACTAATTTTACCAAATTGTCCACATGTTATATAAGAATACAATATTAACCTTACAAGTCAGAAATTTAATAATGGTCACGTCAAATACAGTATACTAGTAATATAAATATTATGTAACTTTAGTGTATTAAATTTTAGTTATGTAAGTAAATGAATTTCTCGAAAATAATCAATAGTTGCAAAGCAAACACAATGAATATAGTTTACTAAATATAAACAATTTTACAGTCATTTCAATGGTTTTTATTGACTTCCAGTGTAATTGAACTAGATTCTTATAACTTAATATAAATGATGTAGGATTTATTTTTAGAAACTTTTTTAAAAATTATTTTTAAAAATTAATTAATAAAATCTAAATATATCTTGATTCATGTTTTGAAAGATGTGCACATTTTATGTATTCTTATATTTCTCAAGAGGTTTTAATTATTTTTCAATTACTTTTATGTAGTAATATATTAATATTAATTATTCATTATAATATAATATTATTCATTCATTATATTCATATTCATTCATTAATATTAAATATTCATATATAATATTAAGTATACATTAATATAATTGACAAATTGGACTATTATTTATGGATTTAGAGGGACAGTGAGCCAGGTAGTGACGTGTGAACCAAATACTGTCAACTGTTTCCTGACTCCCAGTTGCGAGAAGAGTTACTTCGATAAAGAGATTCGTCGGAACAATAGGATAACCATTTTCCTCATCACTCTGACCGTCATATTTGGCATTTCATGGCTTCCGTGGAATCTCTTCAATATTTATGTGGATTTTAATTCGCAAATCGATTTAACGGCTCGCGATCTCTACTTACTGTTAGCCGTCTGTCATCTCATAGCCATGTCTTCGGCCACAACTAATGCTATATTCTATGGCTTTCTTCATAAGGCTATCCGACGAGAGTTAAGGGCAACTGTCGCTAAAATTAAGCAGTATTTTGGTTAAAATACTTTGGTTTACAGATATATTCAAATGAAATGAGTGATGAATAGTGAAAAATGTTTATTAGATCTGAACGAATATATTATGAAAAGTTTTAAAAGTATTTTTTAATTATTCCTGTATTAACTTATTTTTAATTATGTATTATTTTGTTTATATAAATCTAATGTACATTATAATATTTCCAATATAGTATTGTAATATAATCGCTCTATTATTATATAACATATTCATTGTATGATAAACTCACTCACAAAACAAATAAATGTTAAAATGAAATTGTTTATATAAATATAATTTACTAGTTATTGTAAGTGAAATAATTGACAGTAAAAGTCTATTTATTTATCAAATTATATTCTTGTAATCTTGTAATAAAATAATATTTGAAGATAAATACAATTAATACTAATTTGTTATTTATTGATTTATGTAAATCTAACTAAATAAAATGAGAATTAAATATTTATTTTGCCATTAATACTGTATAACTTTAATTATATTTTGGTATCTATATAATTTCTCTAATAAACATTATTTTTTTTAACAGTTTGATTTATTTCTGTGAAAAATGTGTTCATTATTTGTTTCATAACCTAATGTCTGATCCAATGTGTGGTCACTCACTATGAGACCAATTCTGTGGAAGCAGTGGTGGAGTCAGAGCTACAGTCAGTCATAAGCGGAGTATAAAATGCCAGAAAAGTTGTCATTTCTCTCATTTTCTGTTCAGTCACTTGACTTCACTCTCGAAAGTGTATAGACTTGTGATAAAAGTTATCATAAGTTACCACAAAAGGTGATAATGACATCAGTCATGGAAGTGAGTGCTTCGCCATCAAAGGCAAGAGAGAAACGATTTGAATGGTATCGCGAAAACCGAAAGAAGAGCCGCTTTAAAGCACTGAATAAACAGAACTAATGATTGGAACCAATTATATGTCGAAGACTTGTCATCACATGAAATCGATGTGAAGTTCAGTGTCTATGACTGCAAATGGATGGACACATCATTGATGACCAGAGAGTGGTTGACATTATGGATCAGACCATCAAAATGATGGCTTATATTAGTTCTACGATTCCTCACTCTATTCGCGTATAAAATAATCATAAGTTTTGTTATAAGACTTGTTGTCT